ATAAAATTAAAAGTCGAACAATGATTGTGTATGCTAGGATTACAGACAATGCCTTGTGAATGAAAATGGTGGGAGCATGTGACTTAGATTGATAATTAGATTTTTATTAGTTTGATAAAAATAAATATTTAAACGAGGAATACGGGTATCCCGTCTAAATGTTTTACCAAGTTTCTTATAATACACATTGGCAAATGATTATGTTTTAAAAAGAAACGATTATGGGACAGAAATTTTATGACAGATAGAAGACGGGACGGGACGGGGCGGGGTGGGACGGGATGGGTCAGGACGAGACGGAAAGGGAAATGACGGGTTTCCATTCTAAACTACACATAAAACAATTAAAACTAAAGTCAAACCCAAATCTGATTTAACATCTCTAAGCAAACTGTTAGAAATGTTTTGATTAGTTTAAAAAATAAACACGTAATATCACTTACCATTTTCATTTAAATATTTTTAAAATTGTAATTTGAAAATTTTATTATGTAATACAATATCTATATTTTACAATTGTATGTCTATATATAGTTTATCAAATAAACTCATATAACAAAATTTTACCAAAATAGCATCTACTTAAAAATCGTAATTTTGTAAAAATAACTCCGCACGTACGTGCGGGTCCATCACTAGTAAGATATATGTTTCTTATTCACTTGTAATCCTCAAATATTTGCATATCTTTGTAACTTAGAGAACTAGGTCTCCTCTCAATCTCTATATATATATATATACTCTTGAAAGAATCTTCATCGGATAAAAATATGAATCCCTCCACTCTTTCTAGCTCCACCACGCAAAGACAAATGATTCCTCATTGAGAAAAGAAGATGAGTTGCGTTTGTGGCAAGGAATTTGTTTGATTTCAAAACTAAAAGAGGGAAAAACAACAATGAAGATCAGAATGTATTCTATTTTTTCCTATTCATTAATTGGGAGAAAGTATGTAACCTTAAGGATGATATACTCCTTGATGAATTTGTAAAATTCATTCTTATATTCATTTGTTGTTTTCCCTCTTTTAGTTTTGGTGGTGAAATTGAGTCTGGGAACCCAATATTAACATAACGTCCATCATGGCATCGACAGCGAGATTAAGAACTCCACCACTGCAAGAAAACGGAACAAACCTTTTAAAAAACTTATGAGCATTTGGTTGCAATGAGAAATCTCAAATCTGGGGGATAACTTTGATTGATTTCATGTGTTTTACCTTTTTTGCCGAGAAACCAATATATTGTATGAGTTGTAAAACCAAACTCTTCGTTTATAGGATATTTTTTCACTTAAGAAAAAAGAAAACGTTCATGATGGCTAACGTACTTATATTTAAGTAAGGGTTTGTGAATGCAGACCTTTTCATGTAACTGTAAAAGCACTTGATGTTACGTACGTTGTTCAATATTAATGGCCTAAAATTGTCATGCATCTTTCAACAGACCCGTCAGATTTTTATAATATATGAGATGATAACTATGGTTTGGACATACCTATAAATTAATATATACTGTATAGAGTTCGGACAATCACAAGGCGACTTAATAAGTTGAATATTGAATCGACCTGAAACTTGCGATCATCTATATGTCTGGTAGCTTGAAGTTTTTCTAGCTAGATCAGAAACGCAAATCAATGAAATTGCACCAAGCTTATAGATGAAGGTTAGAATTCAATTACGTACATACAACGGATTTAAGTCCTCATCACCAATACTTTACCCTAATCATATTCATGTTGCAAACAAACTGCAAACGCTCTTTTAGATACATTATCATCTATGCAACAAACTAACTGATCCAATCGCATCGCATCTAAAAATATTATTCTCAGCAACTTTAGACACAAATGCAGTTCGTATTAGCTCTTACCAGACAAGAAAATACTAAAGTAAAAGCCAAGAAAAGAAGACAAGAAGTGAAAAAAGTGATGGCGAGTAGGTTTGGTATCATTGGATTCTACTAGGACCCATGAATATATGCTTAATACTCAGAGTTAATTATAGTCATAGAAGACACAAAACACATCATTAAGGCACAAACAAGAGTTATTATTATCTAGGAATAAACTAAGTAAGAAATGCTAGTACTTTACAGCTTACAGAACTTATAATAGTAATAGGAACACGATATACTGATTGATATCTAATTAAAGTCAAATGCATCTTTCATCATAGCACTCTCTTCTTTTGTTATACCACAAACAGAAAGTAAAAGTGTGATTATGATGTTTGAACCATCTATTCATATGTTAACGTGACCTGATATATCACATGCTCTGCTGCTAGCTTAGCCTTTTTTTTTGTTGTTTGACACTTTAGTGAAAATAGAATATTATCCTTTAGGAATTTAATCAAGAAAATTCCTTAATATTAAAAGTATTTATTGATTATTGATATAGCCCCCACTGGTCTTAATGATATTTTGTCCAATTGTTCTGTTTATTTGTCCAAACATGATAAAATGCGTGATGAGTTATCGAATTAAACAACCATGGACCACGATATTGATCATCACCAACCTAACTAATTGTTTAATTCAGTCGATCTTAATAGCAAAAGATATGAGCAATAATGAAATTACTAGTGTGGAAGCGTGATTAATTTGCTTTAACTATTAAGATAGAGACATAAGATGTAATTCAGAAACATTTCATTAACTTCCACTATACTAGTTATTATGATATGTAACTACGTATATAACTCGTGATGTTAACGCTTAATATAACTACCCTTCAGGGAGAAGAGAAAACTAATCGAGTTTTGACCTTTCAACTAAAAACATATAAGATTCCACCAAATGTAGTACTACTCATGACTACACGCCAAACTGTTACAGTGTCTCTCACCACTCCCCAATAATGGTTGTTAACTTATTCTTTTGCCTTTTCCCATTTTATTATATAATCTTGGTAACTTTGGATATGTTTTTTTTTTTTTTATCATATTTGTTAGTCAAGAAATTGTGATCACCTAATTTTATTCATGCACTTATATATAATAGTACTATTACACGTTGTAAAAGAAGAGTTTGACACTTTTCTTATACAGATTCCAGTAATAATCATGCAGTTTAATTTCGAACTCTTTATATATTGTATTTGTAAGTTTTTTAGTTTCTGAGTAGTATTAGATTATTTGCTTAAGGTGTAAAAGAAATAACCAGATGGAGTTAATAATAATTATAAATGGTGGTTAAAGTTAAAAGGGATAGGGTCACCATGATTAGTAATTAGATCCACACCAAAGCTAAAGGGTCCGTGGGTTAAACGCAACGTAAGAGCGCGTCGTTGCTTTTGCCCAAATCCAACAAACTAATAAGAAGAGAGACCAGAAGACACTCCTGTCAACAAAATAATCGTTTCTTCTTTTTTTGCACTCTTTTGGGTTTCCTAACGATGATGATGATGGTGTGAAAGAGAGAGAAGAAGAAGCAGTTTTGAGGAGAAGGGAGAGAGAAACTAAAGTGTCTCTCTTTTTCTTTCTTTTTTTTCTTCTTCTCTGCATTGTCCATTTATCCTGTCGTCTTTGACGCTTTTGTAAAAGCTAAAAAAGATAAAAGATGCCAAACAACGACGAAGACTAGAAAAAAGACCCACTTCTCTCTCTCTCTTTATTCTTCTTCTTCTTCCTTCCTTCTCCTTCTTCTTTGTTCTTCATTCTTGAGATTCTTTCTTCTCTGTTTCTTTCCGGGTCTTGAGAGTATATCCGTAAGTTTTTTTTTTTCTTTTTTTTAGTTGATTGATTCTACTTGCTTTTAAACTCCTGAGTTTTGTCGTTTCCTGTTTCATGACGTCCATGTTTGGTTTCACGAGTTTATAAATTATTTTCTTTTGACTGGCCAATTGTATTCTGCATTTCTTATACTAGATAGAGCTAATTCTTTCTTCCAATTCAGATCAATTAAACAATTTGAAACTTTTTGTTACACGCCAAAGATTGATCCTTGTTTCACTTATGAGGTTCATCTTCACTGCATTTTCTCTAGTATTCAGTGATCTCGTGTATCTCTTTTTTTTTTGGTTTTGAATTGAACTATTTAGTAATTTCTTGATTTGCTCTTTGTCTTTTGCTGTTGAAACAGATAAAGATCCCAGAAAAATGACTAAAGTGTGTCCTGAAATAGAAGAAGAGACATTGCCTAAGTCAGCTGTTCCAGTATCAGCAGATGTGAGCTTTGCTTCTGATCATTTTCCAACATACAAACTAGGACCTGATAATCAGATAATAGAGGAACCTAAGGAAGATGATAAAGGTCCATCAGTGAAAGAGACTGTACAGAAAGAGAGCGAGCTCTTGTCTGATCAGCACAAGCGGCTTTCCGTCCGCGACCTTGCTAGTAAGTTCGACAAGAATCTTGCTGCAGCTGTTAGTTTGGCTGATGAGGTTAGTTTCTGCTCCTCTACTATGATTTCATATGACACTTCTCTTTTTGTTTGTTTAAATCTGTTTCCTGCAACTCTCCTCTAGGCTAAACTAAGAGAAGTGGCTTCTTTGGAGGGACATGTTATGTTGAAGAAGCTAAGGGATGCTTTAGAATACATGAGGGGACGCACGGATGGGCAAAACAAGGAAGATGTGGAAACAGCTATCTCCATGGTTAGCATTTCTTTTACCACATTTTTTCTTTAGACAAACATAAAGTTCCTTGTTCATCCTGAAACTAATGTTTTTTTTTTGTAACTTGGGTCAATATTGTGATGTCTGAGAATAGGTTGAAGCACTGGCTGTGAAGTTAACTCAAAATGAAGGTGAACTAATTCAAGAAAAGTTTGAAGTGAAGAAGCTAGGAAACTTCCTCAAGCAGGTCTTGCTACTATAGATTGATAGTGATGCAAAATGAGTTGTCTTAGATTTCCAATAGTTGAAAACTACAAATGAAACTGATTAATGTTACTCTCATGAATGTGACAGACTTCAGAAGATGCAAAGAAACTGGTAAATCAAGAAAAGTCATTCGCTTGTGCTGAGATTGAAACTGCAAGGGCCGTTGTGCTGAAACTTGGAGAGGCATTTGAAGAACAAGAACGGATTTCTGAAGCTTCTAGAGCTCAGGGGCCGGTTAGTATTATTATCTAGTCCAGATAATAAAGTTTATAGTAAAGCTTTCTAGTCAAATCATGGTTTTTCATTCATAGGATGTGGAGAAATTGGTTAAGGAGGTTCAAGAAGCTAGGCAAATTAAACGGATGCATCACCCCACAAAGGTGCTTCATCAATTTCATTGCACTCTAGTATGGCCACATTAAAGTTATAAACTCTGTTTTATTTAAGACTGTGTGGTAATCCAGGTGATGGGCATGCAACACGAGCTTCATGGTTTAAGGAATCGAATCCAAGAGAAGTATATGAATTCTGTTAAACTTCACAAAGAGGTATGTTGTTGTGCGCATTCAAATTTTTAACATATTTCCTCATAAGTTTATTTTCTAGACTTGGTCTTTGCTAACTTCTTTGTTCTTGCCTTTATCAACAACTGTCAAAATCTTCAAGATAGCAATAATCAAGAGAGTAGAAGAATCCAAGTCTTGTCCGTTTGTTCTGGAAGGCACACAAAGTCTCGGTTCTTGCTTAAGAATCTGTATTAATGGTCTTGAAAATGCTCCTGATCTTTCCAACTGTTCGATCCAGTGGTATCGCGCAGCATGTGAAACTAGTCGAAGGGAAGCTATATCTGGTATTTGCTCCTATCTGTTTGCTTCATCATTTGGTTTTTAGTTAATGAACATTAGCTTGAGCAGTTTCATATCTTGCTCTTAGGTGCCATCCAATCGATATATGCTCCAGAACCATTCGATGTTGGGAGGATCTTACAGGCAGACATTCTTTCAAATGGACAAAAATTCACAGTTACAACCGATGATCCAGTTGATCCTGGTTGGTATTATGGAAAATTCAGAAGATACAAAGATTTTATGTGGACAATAGCTAATGTCTGGCTTATTGAACTGCAGATTCTGGCTTGCAGTCACGCGTAGAGACGCTGATGCGAAAATCTAACAGTGAATTCAGCGTATGTTACAACATTTCCTTCAAGAATTTCAGAATGTTGGTTTCATGTTCTGATATGCTGAACATGTCAAACTCTGCTTCAGGTGGTTATATCACAGATGAATGGACAAGACTATGCATCCCGGTCTCATATCTTTACCATTGGAAAGACAAGGATAAAGCTGTCTCGAGGATGGATCTCAAAGGCGAGAGAAATATATTCGACATCCATGCAGGTATCTTGAGACTCTTTCTTCATTCTGTTTCACAGAAACAAATCTTTGATATTCTTACAAGCTTATATGGTTTTTTGGTATATAAATTATTCAGCTCTGTGGAGTTAGAAGCAATATTAAGACTCCTACCAAGGCGTTGTTCTGGCAACCAAGAAAGAGTCTAAGTTTCATTCTTACCTTTGAATCAGAACAAGAACGTAATGCAGCAATAGTCCTTGCTCGCAAATACGCTTTCGATTGCAATGTAAGCAAAAACTAACCGAAATGTCCAATCTTTCTAATGCTCTTCTCAGATTCTGATAAACGTAGTGGTTTTGCACTTTCTATCATTTAAAACTGCAATGACAGATTTGCTTACATCTGCAGGTTTCACTGCTTGGCCCAGATGATTGAGTGAAGCAGACAATGTCATTAACGAACCACCTGATATTTTTTTCCCCTGACGGCCGGATTTTCTTGTTCTGTGTGTTTGTGTGCGGCTACTTTTTTGTTTTTTTTCGCACTGGACCAAAGAAGGAAGGTGCAAGTTTGGGTTCTCTACTGATCATACAATGTTGCTGCATAGAGTTTTATTATAGGCAGCAGATTTCTTTTTTCTTTTTCTTTCCTTCTTTTGCTTGATCATCAGTTTGATATGGTTGGCATTTCTATTTGTTTGGTTTGTTTGTTTGATTTTATTTTATTTTATTTTTTTGTTTCAATTAGGACGCAACATTGTTAATCAGCTTATGAGTGTGAGATGACAACTGTTACCATTGCTTCACCATATTACCAGATTCTGAGAATTTCCCTTTCCTATGATCAGCATGTGTCCAAATATACTGTACATGTATTTGAACAAATATGAAAAAAGAATTCTATAACTGTGCTAGAGATGTTGATCAAACAAAGGGAGATCAAGGAGATTTTGAGGTGGCATGATCCAGATATTCTCATACGGATCATGGTTTTTCCATTTCAAGCAAATCTTACTCTCTTCATCAACCTTGTAAGATATGCAAGTCCTCTTGAATCCATGGAACACAGAGAGACACAAACAGTTTCTAATTCCACTCGGCTTCTGCTGCTCGGCTCTCGATTCAGAAGACAAGGCGCTTGCGTAGATTGTCAAGCCTCCCAGTGTTTTCCTCTCAGTCCATGTAGAGCTTGTAATGTCAAGTTTAAGCAAGGTTGGGTTCATGTGTCTGTACATGTAAATGAGAAAGATCTCTCCCTGGTGTTCTGTCATAAAGCATCTGTTGCTTCCCGGACGTTTCGAAGGTCGCCCGGGAAGAATATTCCAAGAATTCAAAGACGGGTCGAAGAGCGATAAACATCCTGTATTAGTGAGGCAGTAGAAGGCGCCATTGGAGAAGACAATCTGCTCGAAAATGTTGAAGTTTCGTGGCAGCCGATTCTTGAACACAAATGTGTTCCACTCTGTGGCATAAGCACAACATGTCTTGATGGTGATGTAACTCCAAGTGACATAGCTGACTGTGAACAAGACACAATTAGTTGATGTAGGATCACAAGAGAAAGCCATTCTTTGATCATATGCCATCCAAAGCGGAGGCACAGGTATGCAATTTCGAGTAAACGGATTGAAGAAAAAGAGCTGATAAGTATTGGCATTGTACATGAGTAACCAACCATCTTTGGAGGAACAAACCCGAAAACCTGATAACTCAGGAAACTGAAGACTGTGAGTTTTCTCCATTGATGGGTCATAAAGTTCATAGGATTCGTCTGTTTTGGGAAAGTAGATAAGCCAAGGAGAGGTATCAACCGCTCGAAGAGAAACACAAACTTTGTGCCATGATTTGCAGACAGCGGAAGCAAGGATGTTGTCTTTCAAAGGAAGAAGAGAAATTACCAGTTTTAAGAGATCAGAAGGAAGGTCTGAGAAAGTTTGGTCCTTTTCTCTTCCCACCTTACTCTTCTTCTTCTTATTCTTCTTCTTTTTGTTCGACCTGTAAAAGCAAAACCCAAAGTCTCAAAATTTGAAAGCTTACAACATTTAAGGGTAACTAAAGGAGTTTTCAAATTCTCCAAATCCTTATCAAATAGCCAATTTGAAATAGAAAGGATGAAAAACTCACGATCCAAGCTTCGACCTTCCCATAGTGAAGATTACTAGAGAAGACTCTTCATCACCTTAACGGGAAAAGCCACTAGATTACTAGAGAAGACTCTTCCTCGCCGCAAAGATTGGGTCAACGACAGATCCAGTGGTGATCTCTGGTCATCCAAACAACGGAGTTGCTGGACTTTTGTGTGGGAACAGTCCGGTTCGGTTTAATACGGTTAGCAGAACTAATAAATTTGCAAACGTCGACCAGAAAAAGCAGAGTAGTTTTCATCTTCTTAACGAAGAAGATATTGTAAACATGAAGTATCCCTAGTTATGAATCAAAAAGCAAAGACAGTTATGACTATGAATTATGAAAATTCACCACAAGGAGACTGATTTAAAAAAAAACAAAATCATGAAGAAACACTACAAGAGCTCACTGGCCAATAAATCAATCTGAAAGCAAAAGTCTCAGGTTTCAGCTTTACAGCTAAGATCCCATTCTCAATTGGCTTCTAGAGCATACTTGTTCCATTCATCAGCATCCAAGCTTCCTTTTTCTCTTTTTTTTTTTTTTTTTTTTTTATCAATGTGAAAAAACGAAACTTATTCGCCAATAATGATCAAAAGCCTCAATGTTTCTCTTTCTCCCTTATCTAGTTCTCGCATACTTGACTGAAACACACTGGGAATGACGGAGAAAACTTGTGTAATCCTAATCCATGAGTAAAAATGACTCGAGGTGATCATTCTCTCCGCAATGCTAGCGATTATTACACTAGAATTGGATCAGTATGATGCCTACTGAAATTTTAAAAAGAGTCTGTCTCTGGCTCTTATGTAGCCAGATGAAACGACGTCGTTCAAAGTCTCCTTATATTTCTTATGGAGCGATAATGTCCGTTTCAAGTTCTTCATTCTTCATTATTCGGCAGAAGGAGAGAGAGATAGCAAGAAATGGAGGCATTGGTTTGCCGGAAATTGGGAGATCCGACGGCGACGAAGCCAGGTAGTCCAGAATCGCCGGTGGAGGTGAGCAAGACTCATCCGATCCCGTCTTTGAGCTCAGATACGGCGGTGAGAGTCAGAGTTACCGCTACGAGCTTAAATTTCGCCAATTACCTTCAGATTCTCGGAAAATATCAGGAGAAACCTCCGTTACCCTTCATCCCTGGCTCCGATTACTCTGGAATCGTCGACTCGATTGGTCCCGCCGTCACCAAATTCCGCGTCGGCGATCGTGTCTGTTCCTTCGCCGGTCTTGGTTCCTTCGCTCAGTTCATCGTCGCCGATCAATCTAGCATGTTCCCTGTACCGGAAAGATGTGACATGGTTGATGCAGCTGCACTTCCTGTTGCGTTTGGGACTTCTCATGTAGCACTTGTTCATAGAGCTCGTTTAACATCTGGTCAAGTAAATATTTCATCTTTCTGATTCAGTTTTTGTTTTGCTTGATCAGAATCTGAGTTTGTAAAGGTTGAGACTTGAGAGGTTCCGTTGATTTTTGATGCAGGTCTTACTAGTTCTAGGTGCTGCTGGTGGCGTTGGCCTTGCAGCTGTTCAAATCGGCAAGGTTTGTGGAGCCATTGTTATTGCAGTTGCTAGGTAATATATATATGCTGGTTTCCAATTTGGGTTCAATAGTCTTCGATTCTTGGTTCTGGTTTTTGAGTCTCTTGCTTTTTGGCAGAGGAACTGAGAAGATTCAGCTGTTGAAGTCAATGGGAGTGGATCATGTTGTTGATCTAGGCACTGAAAATGTTATTTCAAGTGTCAAAGAATTTATCAAGACAAGAAAGCTTAGAGGAGTTGATGTTCTATATGATCCTGTTGGAGGGAAACTAACCAAAGAGTCCATGAAAGTTCTGAATTGGGGAGCTCAGATTCTTGTGATTGGTTTTGCCAGCGGTGAAATACCCGTGATTCCTGCTAATATTGCCCTTGTAAAGGTAAATTGATCATTCTCTACCAAAACTTTTGGTTAAGACAGATAATAAGCTTTTCACTTGAGTCAGTCAAACCTTTATAAGTGGTATAAACCAATTGGTGCAGAACTGGACGGTTCATGGTCTTTACTGGGGAAGCTACAGTGTCCACCAACCGAGTGTCCTTGAAGATTCAATCAAAGAGTTACTTTCATGGCTTTCCCGAGGGTTGATCACTATTCATATCTCTCATACCTATAGCCTCTCCCAGGTAAACAACATCAATTCATCATCTTCGTGGATTCAAAACCCAAAACATGTAACTAAAACACTTACTGTTTGGATAACAGGCCAATCTTGCATTTGGGGACCTCAAAGACAGGAAGGCAATTGGAAAAGTGATGATTGCTCTCGACCACAAGACTGGCCTGTCTTCAAAACTATAGTCTATCTGTGGCCACAGGAGAAAACTGGTTTAGTAATTTCTATTAATAAGGTTATTGCAATGGCCATGTAAGCTGCCCCATCTTGCATTTTATACTTGGCCTATAAATCCTGTCTTATTGTAATTTACCAAACCACAATATGGCGTGAAATTTAATAATTGTAGTTGAATCGCAGTTTATTTCTCCAGAAATTAGTGTAGATATAAATCCTTTTGTATATACAATGTTTCAATCAAGAATACAATTCCTTCAATCAAGTAAAGCTTGGAAGTATGAAACCGTATGCATTTCACCAAATCTATATACAGAGCCAATGCTTATGTACATAAAAATCGAACCAAGCACGTGTTGACTATCTTGGGATCTCTGGGTTCAGGAATCGGAAATGTTCAAGCTGAGTCATCTCTCCTCCGTTCACTGGATCGAAATTGCACCTGTAGAAACTGTAAGGCCGATAAATCAGATGTGTGGCTGCTGGTTATTTTATGTTTTTGATATTCTGACTTGTGTGGGTGGAAGCACATATATTGACTACTTGTGGATGATGATATGATGATGTGAATATATTCAGAAAGAATTAGAAAGGCCTTGTTACCTTCCGTCCATGCCGATAATCGCAATTGTGTTCTGAGCGCCAAATGCTGCAAAGTATTGGGTGACTTCTGGAACATGGAACTGAGAGAATGACCATTCCGAGCTGAAATATTTTGGTAGAACTCCTGTAACAATGCATGAAAATGTTAGGCACCAGACAGAAGCATGGGCTAATCCAACCGCACAATAATAAATATGAAATCTACTCCTTGATTTACTGGTTTAGAGGAAAGCTAAGAAATGGAAAAAAGTTTAACTTTCCTAGCGGCACATAAATTTCCCAAGGCTTCTTTAAACAACAAACTTCTATAAAGTTCACTGACTTTTTCATGAACCAAGAAATTATATACTCTCTCAATATAATTCAGCTTTCTGCCCTTTCACTCCATAAGCAGTTTAAAAGAGAAACAAAGCATAACATATGTACCTCACGGTAACAGTCATATCAGATGTTCTCCTAATTTCTACCTTACCTCTCAGAAAAGACAATGACGAACCAGGGTTGGCACCACTGGCTGGAGAAACAAGAGGCTGCAGGGAATTTGAAGAAGTTTCATGTTCAGTGGAGTGTGCGTCCTCCCCAATGACCCTCACTCTAAGAGAGAAAATGTGAACAGTCCCCTTGTCACTTGATACCGCAAGCCACTGCACGTTTGGTGATAGAGCAATGCTATAGATATCTGCTCTGTCCACGCCTCGTCGGACCTATAAACAAAGCAGCATTGGATTTCATTAACCACAATTAATCAATAATGAGCATATAAAACTGGCATATGCTCTGCATAAGATTCCGTTAGTGTTATTAATAGCTAGAGAGTGTTTCTAAATAGATTGTGACAGATGTGTTTGCTCAACCATTGCCTAGACAAAGCCGTATCAAACTGTGACTTAAATAGCATATGGTACAATGATGGTGTTAAGAAAAATAAAAGCTAGTTCATAGTTCCAGACCTCTTGCAGACGAGTTCCGTCCATTGTGTTGAAAATTCTAATCAGAGTTCCCTTTATACTGGCAGTTGCAAGGAGCAAGCCATCCAATGTCATGGTCATGCACGCGATATTAGAATCATGAGCATTAATGATTTGAACCATGTTAAGCCCAAAATGTTCAACTCGGACCTGTCCTCGACGAATACCTGGACAGGCCAGCACAGATGTATTCATATGATGAGAGAGGCAACATAGTCCCCTTGGATTTGCTAGATTTTCAATCTGATGAAGAAGTCTTAGATCCAGAAAATTGTAAACATATATCTTGTGCTCAAGAACAACAACAATTCGATCTCTTCTTAACTTCACAGCACGGATTTCAGACCGAAAAGAAAATTCACTGATGCAGCGGCTCTGATGATCATCCCAAATCAAGACTTTATTTGAAGGATACTGAGAGTCAGGTCCACCACCAACAAGGGCCAAGATATTACTCCGGAAAAGCATCTCTACAATTTTAAACCCTCCATCCTTCAGCTCTCGCCTGAAAGTTTCCTTGAAAGGTTGACAATTATATATACGGAAACCATGGCTCGTGCCAGCAGCAAAACAGCTGTAATCCTGATTCCAAGAAACAGAAACCAACTCTGCCTCGTCACTTTCACCAAAATCTAGTTCTGGAGGCCCACGAGAGTTTGAAATGCAGGTATCCCGGGAGTCATAGCCACCTGGTTGGATGTTCTTGTGGGGGTCCATTTTCCCTTATAATATGTGAAGCGTTGCAATAGTTGCAAACTGAAATAAATAATTAAGAGAGGAGAATTTAAGATTGATCTCTCTTCATAAAACACACTGTCCAAAAACTCCAAACAATGGAGCTGAAAGACTTTGAGTCATGCCAATTATATCCAAACTTAAACCAGAGACAATACAACACTGAACGCTTCAGAATCCGAATCTAACATAGACTAATAGAATTCAAGGTAAAAGTGCCAACAGAGAAAAAGCTCTCTTCTCTTCTGTCATATATGACAGACTAGTGACGATATAACAGGACATGACCACAATCGTCACCGTCAATGTATCGGAATCTCCAAAATGAAACCACGAAATCAAATTCCACAATGATCGAACCTCATGGAACCTAAAAACCCTATCTGTTCATCACACATTACGATCAACAAAACCCCTGGGATAAGTTCATACTCCTAAATTCTTAACAAACCACGATTCCAATTTCGTATACAATCGCGTATGAAGCTATACACAACATAGCAGCCACAATTTCAGATTCTCGGATCAAAACAACAACAAATGAAACCTATACGTTCGTTTGATTCGAACGCGAAACACAATGAGATTACGCAAAATCCTCACCGAATAGAAAACGTAAACAGCGTGAAGAATCAAACAAGATCTTTGAGAAAACGAGAATGCTGCTTCAATGGAGGACCAACCTCGATCCTGATTTTATAATCTTCGATGTCTTCTCAAATCAATGACTTCGCAATGAGAAAGGTTCGTCTCTGTATACTATAACTTGTATGATTTTATCTTCGTAGAAAATTTCTGATCTTTTTTTCTTTTAAATTCGTTGTATGGGGTTAGTCAACTGTCGTCATATATAATTAACCTTTTTTCTAATACAAGTAAAGTATATAGTTAATTAAAATTTTGTATTTTCTTAATGGGCTCAATACGGACTGGGCCCAACACGCCCTATATTTCTTCAATTCGGTCATCAGCGCCGGTGACGGATTTTGACTCCCAAAGTGACTGAATCCGAAAGTAATCATGGCGTCGAAGCAAATGCTCTGATCCTTAAATCGAACTCTCTTTTACGCTCGTATATTCGTTTTTACATTTTTCAATCAAAAGGGGGAAGATTATTCAGTTTTCGGTGAAACCCTATCTACAAATTCGATCTTAAACCCTAAAAAAGATGGTGAAACCCTCCGATTTCAAAGCAGTTCATAGACTTATTCAGTTGCATTGCAGTCGAGTTAACGTGGTCGCGACGGGCCGGTCAAAACTTTCCGCTTTGTCTTTTCCGGCTCTTCCTTCAAATGGGGTTTCTCAGCTTCAGCCTAAGTCCGGTTTCCACAGCTTTTCGTCGCGACCCACTTTGAAAAACTTTGGCTTGTCCCAGATTCTTCCCTCAAATGGGGTTTCTCAGCTTAAGCCTAAGACCAGTTTCCACAGCTTTTTGTCGAGACCTACGTCGAAAAATGTGGGATTATTCCAGATTCTATCAAGTCCTAAGCTCGTACCTAGTTTGCAGAATTGTGGCGTAGCCTTGGTTAAGCCCCGTGTGAATATGAACTTTGCATCGGCTTTTAGATTGTTTTCGAGCTCTGGATTCCGAAAGGTCGATGGGAATTTCGCTAGGAAGGTTGTTGACAAGCCAATCCAAGCTGTTAGTTCGACTTTTGCTAGATACCGAATGGCTTTAGGGTTGCACATTGATGCATTTTGGAAGAAGAATAACCTTTTGGTGTTTGGAGCAGGGGCTGTTTTTGTTTGTATTTTCTTGTGGAGGATCATGTTTGGAATTGCTAGCACATTCGTGGGTCTCTCTGAGGGAATGGCCAAGTACGGCTTCCTTGCTCTCTCCTCTGCCATTGTTGCATTTGCTGTAAGTCTTAGGCTCTGTCTGTGCTTATCTTTGACAACTTTGGCGTTAACTCGAACTTTGAGATATGTTAGGATTGATTCAGTGGCGGTCTCTAAAGTTTAAGTGTGAATCTTCGTTTGCAAACTGTATTGTTTTGTTAATCTTTATAGCCTTCATCTTTCTATTAAGAATTGCAATACTGTTTTTAACTTTGGTTTGTTATCATAACTGCTCATTGTAATATGTCTGTGCATATATCTATTACTAGGGTCTATACCTTCGCGCAAGGTTCACGATAAATCCCGATAAAGTCTATAGGATCACCATGAGGAAGCTCAATACGGCGGCTGATGTTCTTGAAGTTATGGGTGCCCCTCTGGCAGGATCAGATTTGCGTGCTTATGTGATGTCAGGTGGTGGCATAACATTCAAGAGATTCAAGCCATCAATTAGGAACAAGCGTTGCTTTCTCCTATTCCCGGTTCAAGGTTCTGAGAGAAAGGGCCTCGTTAGTGTCGAAGTGAAGAAGAAGAAAGGCCAGGTTTTTGCTTTCTCTACTTCCCCTCTGCGTAAAGAACATTCTTCTTAGACTGATCACGTTTTTATCAACTATTATTGTTAGTAATCTGTTCCCGAAAATTTTCCCAGGTTACCTTAAAATTAGCCATGTAAACATTTTAGGTACTTTTGATAAAAGTTCATTAACAGTGCCACTTCAGCTTATGATGTTTAGGGTCTTGAATATTTTGGTGAGGTTTGGGTTTCTCTACAATAAAACCTAGGGTTGTATCTTATTATTACCTTTGGTTGGCTATTTGTTCTCCATTTGCTTCTTTGACTCTGTTTCTGTTCTATGCTACTGTGATAGCTATTGGGTATCTGAACCTATCTCTGAGTTTTAGTGTATTTCTGATGTTCATGTCTGTTTTTCCTCAGTATGATATGAAGCTACTGGCAGTGGATATTCCAATGGCGTCTGGTCCTGATCAACGTTTATTCCTTATTGGTGATGAAGAAGAGTACAGAGTCGGTGGTGGTTTGATCTCTGAGTTAAGAGATCCTGTGGTAAAAGCAATGGCAGCAACCAAAGAGTTTGATAACCTTGATAGAATTGAAGAGGAAGAAGACGCAGAAAGAGAACTTCAAGAAGCCGAAAGAAAACAGCGTGAAGAAGAGGAAAGAAAGCAGCGTGAAGAAATTGAACTTGAAGAAGAGGAAAGAAAGCAGCGTGAAGAACTGGAACTTGAAAAAGCGGAAAGGAAGCAGCGTGAAGAAACTGAGAAGCTCGAGAAACAGAGTTCTTAGTTGGTTCTGTCATACATGCACACAAACTTAACATCTTCAGTGGATATAGAACATCACCACAAATCTGTTCAATAGCCTAACTTTTGCAGAATAAATTTCAGAGTATTTTACAGTTTCTAGTTTGTAATTTTTCAGAGGAAAAGGTGCATTTTGTGACTTTGTCCTATGTAAACTGGTTTTGGCTTGAAGAAGGATAAAGTTTATGTCTTTCCGGTTAGTACCGGTATAAGCATAAAAAAAGGAAAACCAATACAGAATCCAAAGAGGCAAGGCTGTATGAGACTATCATATCTATGTTGTCTTTGACCAATCTCCATTTTACAAAATTAGCAAGCAGTTATTATGGTTCATCAAAGCCACCTGCATCGTGAAGAAGATATAATTTTCCATCAAAGAACCAAACATACGTTCTCATTGCTTCCATCGAATCTTCTTGTGACTCCCTCCTTATCTGATGAATTCTTCTTGTTTTTCCTTCTGAATCTTCTACGGAAACATTGTGATCTTTGGATCTCTTGCCTTTAGGGTTAAAACTTGTTCTGATTACAAGAACACAAATCACCTAAGTTGAAAGGATTTAAAGGTAAATATACTCTCTCAAATCCCTTCTTTCTTTATACAAAGATTCGATGAAGCTCACATATCTACCTCTTTTATGAGATGGGTTACTATTTGAGCCTCCTCTTATATATTTTCAAGATTGGTGAAACATAAGGGTTTTGATTTTCGTTTGGTCTGATGAGATTTTTATTCAGGAGTGAATGTTGAGCCAATGAGAAGCAGATTTGGATTTGATTGTGTAAAGAGTTGATGGGAAATCGTTGTGCAAGCACTCCTAGTTGTAGAAAGGTGATCAAAGCTTTTTCCCACAAATTCTTGAATGTCCCAATGTTGTAAGAATTCAATGTTTCATTAATAGCCATAGCTTCAGAGATAAATGAAGAATATGTGTCCATATATGTGTTTACAGTTATGGTCATGTATATGCTGCTGCAGCAACAACAACAACAACAAGACTCAAACCCGAATCCAACACGGGTCCAGAGGCAAGGTCCATCCAGTAAGCAAAATCGAGAAATGGGAAGAAAAGATCACAGAAGCTAACAAGAATGGCAAGATTGTAAGCTTTCTCTTTCAAATCAGACTTTCCGATTTTTGTTTTCTCTTTTCCTATCTGAGTAACTAGTCTAAATCATTCAATCAAAAACAGCTCGTGGTAAATTTCAGCGCGCCATGGTGTGTACCTTGTAAAAAGATAGAACCAGTATTCAAGGAGCTTGCTTCTAGATACCCTTCAATGATATTTGTAACCGTCGATGTCGAAGAACTCGCTGTAAGTAAACTAAAAACTAGTGTGTTTTGAGAAAGAATGATCATCTATTTTAGGATTTGAGATTGAGTTGGTGGAAATAACAAATACAGGAGTTTAGTAATGAGTGGAATGTGGAAGCTACACCAACGGTAGTGTTCCTTAAAGATGGAAGACAAATGGATAAACTTGTTGGTGCAGAAACCTCAGAGCTTCAGAAGAAGACAGCAGCAGCTGCAGATCTCTTTCTCAAGAAACCATAAACTCTCTAATAAAGACACAAAACAGAACGGAGTTAGGCTTTTCCATTGTCTGTCAAAACCACAAGTTACTTGCGGATGAAGTAAGTACCATGTGTTGTTTTCGTTAGGGATTTTTCTTATCCTTTCAGATTTGCGTTTGTAAGACTAATGCTTTCTATTAACGCTTTGTTTCAGCAAAATCTTGTCTCTGACTGACAGAAACACAAAACATGTAAATCATGAAGAAGAGTTTGATGAAGGTTTATTATGGCTCTAGTTCTTCTTTAATTATAGCTCTTTTGTGCAGATGGTCACTAAACAAATCGCTTCTTGTGCATATTTTGTTTAATTCATTCTTTTTAATAATTTTATTTCTAATTTCACTTGTGTTATTCTATCTAAAAACCTCATCAAGAAAAAACCGTCAAACACGGTCTAGAAAGAAAGAATGTTCCAGTAGCAAAGATTCCACAGCAAGCGGTATGTTTGACGTAATTGTCAAACTCAAAACATGGTTTTGTCAATAAACCATTTGCTTTATGTTGGCAAATTACTTAGATGCACGTTTATTTCTTTCTATTATTTTATTTTTAAAGATACAAACAATTTAAACATACAGAATTTAAAAGCAAACTTTTGTTGATCTAGAAAAATAATAAAGGTATGTTTCTTGGTGATCTCCAAAGTTGACTTTTCAAATCCAAACCGTTGATACTTAAGAACTGGACCTCAACTTCCAAATTACAATGGTGACAATCAATGAAACTCTCAGATCCTAAACAAGTTTCATACAATTTAAATGAAGGAAGAAGAATTTTAATTTTATTTTTTTATAGACAAACTGGAAGAAGAAATTTATATTAAAAAATTACAAGTCTGTTAGAGCATCATTACCTTGACCAGTACGCATTTTGATTTTTATAAAGCATATATATATATATATATATATATTGTTTTTGTACTTCATGACTTCATGTGCGATCTGATTCATATTATATATCTCTTCCCCTGCTACTTGCTTGCTTGAAAGATCACCAACAAAGTTTTGTACCCAGAAAGAAAAAAAAGATCATTCTTCATCAAAGATAAGTCAATCACCAAACCATGATGAAGAAGAAGAAACAGAGCAGATCCCAATCTTCTACCAAGAAAACGCTTGAACCATCCTCAGACTCATCACCTTCACCAAGACTCCTCTCCATTATCCGTTCTAAGGTGACTACTTCTCTCTCTCTCTTTGTATCTTCTTCCTCTGTCTCTTCAATCTTTGATTCTTCTTATTCCAGGTTCTCGGGTTTGGGATTGAACTGATGTGCTTGTTTTCTTTTTTTCTTTGTAGTTGGCAAGTGGTAAAGACTTAAAGCATATGTTCCGAAGCATGCGGAGTAAACCCGTGCCAGGATTATCTTCTCAGTCTAGAATCGTGAGATGTCCCAAGTGCCACAAACTTCTCCAGGAACCTTTAGATGCGACTTCTTACAAATGTGGTGGATGCGACTCGATTCTTCATGGTATGGTAGCCTTCTTAAGTCTCTACCCTCTTTTACAGGTACCAACCTTGTGCATTAAGTTTTTTCTGTTTCCTGTTTTCTTACTTTGAATTCAGCAAAACATTGGGAACTGGAAGACAATGATAACGCAAACACTATTCCCGAGGCTCTCCTTTCTTCTCAAAACCATAGTTTAAGTAACAAGGTAGAATCTGCAGAAGGTGGTAATAGAACTACATTGAGGAGTATTCAACGGGAGTACAATCCAAGGGCATCACCTTCTGTTGAAAGGGGCTATCATTCAGAAACTGTTTACAAGCATGAGACATCCGATATCCACAGAGAATGGATGGGAAGGGCTGACGAATTCAGTGTGACTGGTGATTCTGAAGCGTTTTCTTCAGCAAGAACCTCTCCGTATAACTCACGCAGCAATACTTCGCAATGGAAACAACACGAGGGAAGATATGAAGACCCGCCTCAGGTTCCTTTTTATCCAGCAAGTCTTTATCCTTCTTCTGCATATGAATATGGCTACAGTAGTCCTTCTCACGGGTCTCACGTTTCTGCATTAGAGCAGCCTTACTATCATCATCAACCAAACCAATTCAAGCAATATGGACGAGAAGGCTGGCGTCAAGAATCTTCTGTTGCTTCACCTACCCATTTTCCGGGTGCGACCTTAGAAGGAAAATACTATCCTCGGTCTTCTCAGTCTCCGCGACATGATCTTCAGTATCATAATCTGTATGAATCCAGTAGCTCTGCAACCCCGCATCGTTCTGAGTACTCTGAGCGTAGTTATCAAGCAGCTGCAGCGCCACATCACTCCACGTACTCCAAGCATTCAGTAGGGATTTATAAGAGTGACACAAGTAGTGAGAAGAGATCTTTGAAGGGAAAAAAACGGTATGTCGGGAAAAGGAATCATGTGGTGAAGCACCATATTCTTCCTTCAGCTGGTGGTGCGCCTTTTGCTACTTGTTCCTATTGTTTGGAAATTCTACAGCTTCCTCAGGTGTCTCCCAAAGGAAAACATAAGAGATATCAAGTGAGATGTGGCAGTTGTTCCGGTATACTTAAGTTCTCTAATCGAGGGAAAGCAGATACTATCCTGGATTCACCTAGCTTTCTGGATTCTGACATGGGTATTGCTGATGAGACTGTTATTAATCATCAGGATTCAGCTATAGAAGGCCACGAAGAGATTTACCTGGATGGAAGTCATCTGTCATGTTTAGACGATGATTTTGGAGATACTATCTGCAAAAGCACGAATGATGTTATATTGAGCCGAAGTTTGGAAACATTTGAGGATAAGGGGATTAAAGAAGACAGAGAGAACTTATCCAGCATTTTATTAGATTCACAATTGGAGGCATTGCAGCCTGATCTGAAACCTTTGGTGAACCACAGATTAAGGAAGCAACAACCTGCATCAAGTGATACTATTGCAGAGACTTCAAGAATTTATCTAGAGCAGTCTCAGGAAGCTCATTCAGAAAAGTCAACCGAGATGGATAATAGCATTTTTGAAAGAGTTGTTTGCAATTTAGAAGAGTCGGAATATGAGAAGAGAGAAATTATTAAGCCAAAAGTTATAGTTGGAGAAGGATCAGCTGAGTTCCTGGAGGTTCCAGTCTACAAGAACAAAATGAGGAGTGAATCAAGAGAAGAAGCCGAGAGAGTTGCAGAGAAATCAATATCTCATAGTGAGGAACTTCTATACAAAAACGAATACATCTGTGAAACAAGCTCACTGTCTGAAAATACTAAAGACACTGAGGTGACTCGAGAAAATGAAGAATATGGAGATGAAAGTACATGGGAAGAAATCATAGGAGACAAACACCAGATGCATTTAGAGAAATCGCAGTACATTGGAGATTCGATCTATGACAGTAGCTTACGTTATGGTGAAACATTTGAGGATACATCAGTCAAAGAAGATACAGAGAAAATATCAAACGCATATTCAGATGCAATGCCAGCTACACCACAGTCTTCTCTGGAATCTTTGGTGAACGAGAACCAGAGATTTATAGAACATCATGACCAATCATGTGAGGCTATAGTAACAACATCCATGATCAATGAGAAATCCAAGCATGAGTATGAGAATTTAAGAGAAAAACAAGACTTGGAAATGACCATTAGTGACAGAGTCAGGTATGAGTTAGAGGAGTCTATACACGAGACCAATGAAACTCTTGAGGAGAGCAAGGTGGGCGAAGATAGGTATAGTGATTATATCGAGAATGCGAATGGGGCAGGTGAAAAGAGATTGGTATCTTATCAGATGGATTCTCCACGGAGGAATTTAAAAAATTCTTATGGAACTCTAGAACCAGTTTATCTAGAAGGAAGCGGGTTTTCAGGTGAAAAAACGTGGGAAGAGACAATGGAAGATAGAGCGGGGTTGCAATTGGAGGAATATGAAAGCAACTATGAGTATTACAGCAGATCATTTTGCATGCATGATTATGAGCTAGTGACAATACTTGAACCAGACGAGGATCCTGATGGAAGATCAAAGTCCATTTCACAAATTTCATTCAATAACGATGGAGGAGCAGAAGAAAGAGGCGTGCGTCATGTGGAGGAGCCCCAGCTAGTGAGTGATGGCAAAACCGAACAGCTACAAGTATGTGAAATGGAGAAAGATACGGTATCACTAGACTTGGAGTGTGGAAAAGAATCAATGAAACCAGATGAGACATTTGAATGGACTTCAGGGAGAACTTTGACATTTCGTCATCATGGATGTCAGGTAGGGAAAAGGCATGAACCAGACGAGGATGCTGATGGAAGGTCAGGATCTAGTTCAAGGGATTTCGTGAATGATACCAACAGTTCAAAAGAAAGAGCTGTAATTCACGAGAATGGGGCTTGGCTGGTGGATGATCATGAAACCAAAGCCGGACAAGTATGCATAATGGCAGAAGATGGACCATCACTACACTTGGAAAAGTGCAAAACTGAGAAAATGGAATTGGACGAGACACTTGATCCACATGATGATATATTCAGGCTCAGTGTTGATGGCACACTTGAACAAAAGACAATGAAGTTGATGTCTCAAGATAAGCAAGAAAATCCAGGGACGAACTTCAAACAAGGTGATATTGACGAAGATGTACGAGAATTTAGTTCACATGTTACTTCAGAGGGCCATAAATCTCCAAGTAAAATGGCAGAGGTAGATAGTGAAGGTGAAGAGGAGATACCGGGTGACCATATAAAGCATTATCAGAAAGAGAATGAGAAGTCAGAACTAACCTCTGAACCATATGCTCATATCTACAGCACAACAGAGCCTTCTGAAATCGTAGGTTTGCGTCTTGCGTTATACCAAACGCAAAATTCACCTCTACGGTCACCTCTCACGTCACCAATTCATACTCCCATTGGTTCTCCACTGCATTACCTGATGGCTTCACAAATTCGTTCTCCAATAGCTTCAACAATGCATTCTCACATAGTTTCACGGCTTCGTTATCCCATCAACTCATCCGGTTCATTATCTGATGTATCGTTCCTCAGCAAAAAAAGTTGATGACAAGAAAACAGAAAAGCATTCTTCCAAGCTTAATCAATCTTTTCCCCATACTTGAAGTTATCTGCAATGGAAAACAGTTTGCACATTGTATAAATTTTGTCTTCGAGTGATTGGATTACATATAAACTTTCCTATAGATGATAAAAAATCAATTCATTGAGTAGATAAATCTGTTTTTTACAGAAGTTGTACTGATTACTCATTAGATAAATTGGAATTGATTCTATAGAACCAGTTTAGTCAACGAAAAAATTTACCATTAGTTTATACATTGCAAAACGTAAACATCCCATCCAAAACCATCCAGAGAAATCATAACATGCAGCAAACAAAACAAGGCAAACACAAATAATTTGCTGCATCGAGTGATTGAGGCCATCGAAGTAACAAAGAGCAATGAAAAGAGTTTGAATTTTTTTCTACAAAGAAATCAGCACCTACAAAGGGACAAAGTTCAGATCATATGAACATAAAAGATGCTCCTACATGATATATCCAAGTGAGGCATCACTAAGTCCAATGTTATTGTCTCTTCTAATTGTGCGAATTTAAGAGAGAAATCAAGTAATCTTCTATTAAGAAAACTTGAATTACACAACATTGATCTGCGTGCTCCTATAACATTTAGCTAGTAGCCTTGAAATAATGCTAATGATCTATCCTTTTGCATCCACTGTCTTCAAAGAGACGAAAAACAGCACAATCAACAAGAAGCTTTCTCATGGCTGTTTACTCGATTACATTGAGAAAAATAAATCATGTAAAGTTTCAATTTTTAGCCAGTAAATATATACAATGGGACTAATCACAGACTGAAACAAAAACTCAAAGGTGGTCTCTTTTTTACCTTTAAGAGAGACAACTTCAGAAAAGCTCCGTCCGACCCATCCTCTGAAATAACCAGTCAAACTCAATGGAAAGGAGAAAATCGAATATATTGTGTGTTATGTTTCAAGTTCATTGTTGCTTCTCCTGCCATTTCACATATTAGCTTTCGATCTCTCCGTAACGAAAACCGATTTCAGAGGAAAGCAGACATTGTTTTTCCACTTCATGCCGTTCTATATAAACACACGATTAAACAACGTGCCGTTTTGAGCAATCGCCACACTTATTTGTACCATTCGACATAAACACACTTGAAAAACGTGTCGTTTTAAATAGTCATCAGACTTCGTAGTTCGTACCACTCTACTCACACACTCTTGAACAACCTGCCGTTTTTAAAGCAACGTGATGAAGAAACATCTTTCTCCAACTCATTGCACATTTAAGGATATATAAAACCTTTCAAGACAATCGAATATTATTACACAAAGGTCAAATCTCATGAATTCTAGTTGAGAAATTATTCATCAGTCAACATAATGCAAGAGAAAATACATGTGATCGTCTACAACACATAATTAATTGAAAAGTTAAGTACGTACGTTGTTCTTTGACGACTAGACCTTGAACATGCATGGTCCCATGACTCCCATCTTCTATAAACCTTTGGAATATGATTATGAATTATACATCTCTTCACGAGTTGCCAATTAAAAGAGGTCAACTCATTGGAAGGGTTCAAAACAAACCAAAACCAATCTTTCGTATCTAGATGAAGATTTACATACATATTTTTTTTGGGTAGTATCTTCAACTTTCCCTAATCAACCACACCATTATTATATCATCATTCTTTGAACGAACTTTAGTAATTACGATTCTCAGAGAGCAATCAAATCTAAGGGAGATCGTGACTGTCCTCAAGCAAGGCCGGGGATAGAGAGTGATCATAGAAGCTTTTGAATTTTCATTTTTTTCTATCATTCTATTCTCCCCAAATAATAATAAAAAAGAACAAATGTTTTTGATTCTTTTTCCAATGGGAAAGTTTCTCATTGTAGATATGATATATGAAGCTTCCCCCATTGTTTCCTTTGTTTATTTCCCCTTTTGATGGCACAAAATATTTTTGGTGAAAATATTTGTTTTAGCTCGTACAATTATTGGTAGCAGAGCATAATTATATACAACACATATACGATACCCACTCGCTCCTTTATTGCAATAATTCTTTTTACACATCACAATCAAACTGTTGTTGATTCATGCACCCTTCTACTCTTCTCTAAAGCTAGAGAAAATATTTGGAAGTTGAGTACATACTGTGTAACACGACTTAACCATAGTTTTCATCACTGTGTAACACGAATGGTTTATTTTAATCACTCTAGCTAATCCATTGATTATTCAACATAATTTGTTTTCATTTTATTTTATTTACCACCCAACCAACTTCTAGTACCGCACTTATGCAACTTCGACGATGTTTCGAACTCACCTGTTTTACCGCACTTATGAGTTTTTTTTTTTTTTTTACATAACTATAACAGCTGTTTTAGAGTAAAATACTCAATCAATTCGAATTAATACGTATGTCAGAACCCTATACATCTTCTTATGTTTATTTATACATATAGTAAAATATTAATAATGACATAATATTTTCAAGTAGATAGTACAACACCAACATGCAGTATCTCAATGTCTAAATTGCTACGCGGGTGTTGTCTTGTAGTTTGAATAATTATCATAATAGCTATGTCGATAGGACCCCTTATTAAATGGTAGTCTTTTGGATACATATGTATATAGATCACAATAGTTGCCTACACCAACTTGATAATTTTTTCTTTTTATTTTCATTATATATATATATATACTTCCACCCATTTCAAGATAAAACATTCATATATATTTTCCGAATGTCTATGTTGTTTCCTTTACAAAATTTATGAATCTAATCAACAACTCTCTACTATTTTTTTTAATTATTTCCTAATTGAATATATATAATTTCAACCTTACTCTATTGGTCATTTTTAGAAAATACAAAACAATTTAAAAAAAGTTTTTTATCAATAATTAAAACCAAAACATCCAGCAAAAACTACAGCCATTCATATATTAAATATTAATACATGAACCTGTTCAATATATATATTGTGATAGAGATGATCTTCCGTGTGATGGAGATGCGTCGTGCATGGTTGCTCTATTTGTCTTCTTTTTACAATACAAAATTCCATTTAACTAATAAAATCGAGTTTTTAATATTAATTTGCAATTCAATCACGAGATCAAAATTTTACTATAAAACTCTTCTAAAGTTCACCAGGGAATGGGAAAATTTTGCACAATCCTGTAGTGTTTTGATCATCCAACTAAAACCATTGATAACTTGAAACTAAATTCTTACTCTAAACTCATTATAAAAAATAAAATAAAAAGTACTAGCAATTTTATATTTACAAAATGCATAGACAGTACTATCAAATTTATAAATGCATGCATATAGATAGCCCAGCTTCCAAAAAACAGAAGATAGGTTACCATCCACAGTTTTTGAAAGTTGTTTAATGGAGGATACTCTTAAAATAAATATTGCTATTAAGACAGCTAAGCTTCAGATTTGATTAAGCAAAAGATTTGATTATGATATAATCTTCAATCATTCTTTAATTGTCTAATTCCCTTGTCAACACCTCTTCCCCCATTGACTTTTTCTCACATCATCCCTCCTTGAAAAAACAATATTTTAACCCCCTTATTTAAAAAAATATTCATGTGAGTCTAATACACAAATGTTATCAAATCTCTCTAGTTGTTTACTGGATCCTTTCTATTGGTCGGCGTACGTAAGAGACCAATTCATCTCATTCGATAGACAATTAATGCATTATGATATTAAAAACTAATTCGAAGAAATGCCGGCATAATCAGTTTTGATAATTAGGACTAATAAAATAGGCAAACTATAATACAGTTTAATTAATGGATATGCAAAGTGGCTACAGGAGCAACCTTTTTGAATTAATGAAAATGGTGAGGCACACAACAACTAGACTTTACGGGCATTTATAAAGGGACCTCATTTATGAACCTGCGTACAAATCTGGTCAGTAGTTATTATTGGCTTCTGCCTTTCTGGATGTGTACTATAAGTATAAAGGGTAGCTAACACCCAAAATAACTTAAACGAAACTCTTATCCTCATATATGTCTTCTAGTAACCCCTTTTGTCCGAAAAAAAAAAAGAAAATGTATTTTGGTTAAGAGTAGAGTAGAGAGTAGAGTGAGTACTGAGTAGTGGGCACTAGACCAACTTGGCCAGATCCAAGTGAGGAGAACCCATATACACGTATGTATGTATAATGCATTGAAACAGTGAATGTGATGGCCATTTGAGTCGACCAAACTATGCCTCTTTTCAATACTTATCTTCAACATACGAAAATATTTTTAAAAATATATCATATGCTAATTATAGCTATATTAATATATCAATATACATATTACGCCGCCTAACCGTAGAGTTTCGACGAAAACGGAACAAAGTGATCCGAGTGAAAGACATGATCAATACTTGTCAACAAAATTGTTATCATACATTATAGACTATTTTATTAAGTATATTATAAAACAGAGTTTCTAAGAAAAGTTGGGTAGAAAAGTTTAGCTTTGATACGCCATATTTTTATAATTTTATAGTAGTCAATTAAACTGATAGATAAACTAGTCTAACTACATAAATATATAAAGTTAATTACTCTTAGTGGAAAGCGAATGAGATATAGCTAGAGATCCAATTTAGTCTCTACTCATGTGATTCGTTCAACGTAACCAATTAAAAATTTAGATAAGCTGTTCCAAGATCCGTTGCTCGAGTATTTTTATGTCAAAGCAAATTCACTTAGGAGTCGTTCGAATGTAAAACTATCTGAACTATGTAGGTCTATTTAGGGGGTATTTACATCTCGGTAATATAGCTGACAAGAACCTATCTTAATTATCTCGTTTTGATTCTTTTTGGTATGTATTGCTACTATCCAAAATATCTTATTATATAATTTGGATATCATGATACGAATAATTCAATTTCTTTAATACTATTCGAACTTTTACTAAATCAGTAAAAAAAAAAAAGTGGAGTTGTTTGTTCTAGATTCTTTTATTGGTGTAAATTTTGGAACCTGGTTATAGGAAAACATTGAATGATCCTCCTTTTAAGTATGGATTACAGCAAAATTCGATATTCCATTCTCACTGAGAGATGAAATGACATCATCGATCACTACATCATCGATCTTACGTCACGAAGCTCCACAGGCAAAAACCAAAGGGTGGATAAGTTTAAGTTCCATCTCATTTCCTCACACCTCTCACTATCTTCCTTCTCATTTCCTCTCATCTTCCTCTCTCTCCAAAAAAAAAAATCAAACAAGCCCAACAACAACAACCAAAAAAGAAAAGAAAAAAAAAAAAAGATCTCATCATTACAAATCTTCTTTTCCACCTTATATTTACACACACTTCTCTTCTTTCCCTTTAATCATACAAACCACACCAAGAGAGCAAAATAGAAAGAAGAAAAAAAAAACCCACCAAATGGATACTAAGAAAGCATTAAAGCTTAAAGCTATGAACCACCAACTCGTTGAAGGCCATGAGTTTGCCACTAAGCTTCAGCAACTCCTCTCTCAACCCGGGTCTGGTCATGGTCTAGCGGAGGACTTAGCGGCTAAAATTGTAGTGACTTTTAACAAGGCCATCTCCGTTCTTGATTCCTTCGAACCCATCTCCTCCTCCTCCTCCTCTCTTGCTGCCGTCGAGGGCTCTCAAAATGCTTCTTGTGACAACGACGGCAAGTTTGAAGATTCCGGAGACAGTCGGAAAAGATTGGGACCCGTTAAGGGCAAAAGAGGATGCTACAAAAGAAAGTAAGTGTTTCACTTCACACATTTACTTACTATTTGTTGTTAGTCACAAAAAAACAAGACATTTAGTCACAAAAAAACAAGACATTTAGTAGGTAAAATTAATTAATTTTCATTAATATAACGAGCAGGAAGAGAGCGGAGACGTGGACTATGCATTCGACTGTGCTTGATGATGAATTTTCTTGGAGGAAATATGGACAAAAGGAGATTCTTAATGCCAAATTCCCAAGGTCCTTTTTGCCCCTATTTACATAGTTTTATTAGTATGTGACATGTTGCCTGGTGTTATTATTTTTCATGGACCACAATTATATCTACCATCAATGTGGTCTGAGCTTAATTGGTTGTGGCATATAATAAATTTTGGCCTAAATTATAATTTTTTAATGTTTTGCAGAAGTTACTTTAGGTGCACACACAAGTTCACTCAAGGGTGCAAGGCAACAAAGCAAGTCCAGAAGATGGAGCTCGAACCCAAGATGTTCAGCATCACATACATGGGAACCCACACGTGTAACACAAACACAGCAACACCCACGATCAAGGGTTGTGATGATCATCAGGATGAGATCACCATGGATTCGGAAGAGCACAAGAGTCCTAGTTTGTTGACTACCTCAATGAAGGAGGAGGAAGAGAACCATCTTCATCACCATGGTTCGTCCACGGAGAATAACTTGGTGTGGCAAGATCTAGTGTTCGAAGAGGATCATCATCATCACCATCAGGCCATTTACGTTTGTGGTGAAACTTCTCAGGAGCTCATGGTGTTTGGCGCTGGCGGCGATTTCGAGTTCAGCGACTCTATCTTCGATTCATGTTCCAATCTATGTTGAGTTTATTACACTACTATAGGACTAAGGCCATGAGTTAATCATTAAGCTTTTAGAGTGGAAAACGCATATATATTTTGTCCTCTTCTCTAGCTAATGAGTGTATGTCCTCTTGTACATATACTAGTATAATTAATAACACTCTTGCCAAATTAAGCATCTCTCCCTCAACTTAGATTCTCAACCCTTAGAACATGATTAAGATTAATGATGGTCTCTTAGACCAAAGATTTCCAACTCACGGTCCTTTCCTCAGATACGGTGTCGTAATAATCAGACACGTAAGTGGACGACTACTGACAAGTAAATTTTAGCCGCTACTATTTGTAGCAACATTCCCCCTATATATCTAAGTAATGCATCAATACCAAATACTTCTTCCGTCTCATAAAAAAAATGTAATTTTGACATATTTTACACTTAGAAAATTTTGAATTATACATATATATGCATATTCTTATTTAATAAGTGAGTAATAACTTAAATTCAACAAAAATAGTTTACAAATAAAATTAAGAAATTAATATAAAAATTTACGTTAAAAAAATAAAATGACATTTTGCAAAGCAAAGTTAAAACTCTAAAAAATAATATTTTGTGAAACGAAGGAAGTATATAATCGTTTTGATATATATAATTACAAACACGTACTAACATATATACTAAGTAGGGTTTATTTCTTCTTTTTTTTACGAAGTATATAGGGGTGCGGATGTCTAATATAGGTAAAGGAAATCAAGAAAGAATGCATATAGAATTGTTCTCTGCCTTTCACGCGAGGGCTTACACATCTCAAGTAGCGATTATACATGTATACAGCTCGACGTCTACTGATAACTAGAGAAATATTAGCCGCTCTATTTATTGCAGCATGACATTCCCCTAACCTCTAAAAATTTCTATATTTTTGTAAACGTTCCCCAGCTCTATAAGTTCTAACATGTACATAAATAACAAAATATTTGATAGTTATGATACACAATATATATACAACTTTGCAAGAATATGCATATATATATATATATAATAACTAGGGTTTAGGATATATTTTGTTTACAAGTTTATACATACATACCAAGTAGGGGTTAGGATGTATGATATTATTGCTAAAGAGAGTACGGAAAATAAGAGAAAATGCATATAGAACTGTTCACTGCCTTTTACGCGAGGGCTTAAACATCTCAAGTAGCGACTACCTGTGTACAAAATACAACTCGACGAATTGGTCCTTTTCTATTATCTTATTTTGCCGTTTCTCTTTTGTATTATCGGGTGGGTATAATATAAAAGGAAATAAATACATTAAAAAGTGTCCTTATTTTTTAGGGATAAGTGTCGTGTTCCGGTAATAAAATGACAAAAAAGATATTGGACAAAGGGACAAAAAGTGGACGAGACACGAGACATGAGACAAGTGACGCAGAAAGACATGAAACACTCTCTTCGGTTTTTGATTCATTGGTTGCAACACAACAAATGAAAAACCCCAACAAGCCTCTCACATTCTGAATCTGAACCTTGTGATTCTTATATCTATGATAGAATATAAGTAAATATTTACTGTAAGGACTTGTTGTGGGGGGGAAAAGTAACGTTTATTACACGGAGTTGCACTGGGTTTTAATGATGAAAACTTTGTTTCTAGCTACTTTCTTGAAACTCTTTGATATGTTGATCATTATCCTTTGTTCATCGAATAGATACATGCTCAACATATATTTCAACCCTAAAATTAAGAATTTAAGATGCAACGAAATTCAATCAGTATAGAGTACTGTATAAAATCTTTTCATGCATAGGAAATCAAAAAGTTAGAAAAAGTCATATTTCCACTGACAATATAGCTACTCGCATATGCTAAATGCTTTTCTTTATTCATAATCATTGTCACTAATCTTCGTAGCAAATATTTCGTGAAGTGGTTGAGTTTTTTGTGAATCTGATATATGCTACTGTAAATTTTATGATGATATTTTCTATATACTAATTTATTTCTAAAACTAAGACGCAAAAGTCTTAATTACTACCACTTATTAAAAGGTTTATACATGGATTTCGTTTTTGATCCTATATCTAACATTATTAAAATTTGAAAAGATCGTTGATAAGAAAAACATTTAAAACTTATAATCTTAAAAAGCTGAATGAACTAAGAGGACATGTCGTAATTCCACGTGTCTTCGCAATTAGCATCGTCTCCAGGAACGAGGCAATGGTGGTTAAAGTAGGGAAGTTCGCCAAACGGAACAACGGAGTCCATGTTGCCAATCATAGTTTCGGCCAAGTTAACGACGGCGGGAACGTTTGCGGCTGGTGTGGTGGCATGCACATGTGCTGATGAGGTCAGGGAAGTGGCGAAGAAGTGACAAGTGTGTGAACTACGGTAAGTGACACGGAACGTATAAGGATCTTCGTCGAGCCGTTGCACTTGCTTCTTCGCCGGACACTTGTATAGTTTCTGGTGGGTGCACCTATAGTACGCCCTACACATTTTGGTTTCTTCATATTAATTATTATTAACCGAGTACGAGTCGAACTTAAATGTTTAAACTTCAACTTGAAGAAAATTTAATTAGGTTAGTAAAAGAAAATATATATTTTTCAATACATACAATAAAAGGTTTTATGTATATCCATAACGAAAACCTAATTGAATCTGATACAAAATTTCTCAGTGCGTTCACCAAATCCAAACAAAATATTTGTCTGGTCCAGTAACAATTATCATAGGGTTTTGAATCCAAATATAAGACAACAACGATATACATACAAACTACTAGCGTATATGTCCAAATCAAATTCTATTTCGGTTTATAAAAATAAAATAAAAAACTAATATAAAATGCCCAATTTTACGAATGGTAATGCCATAGAAAATTAAAAATGATGTGCGATTTTTTTTCGTTGGTTAACTTGCATAACGGCCCCATGCATGTCTCTGGATCAAATGATACAAAAAGATAAACTCAAGAGATGCTTATAAAAATCATTTTTAAAAATGTTAATGGGGTTTCAATAAAACACTATTTTGAAAAAAAAAACTGATAATAAATGAAAGGCCATAAACAATAGTATCACATTTGACATATTAATCATTAGTGTTGAAGGATTCGTATAATTACCGAGGAAACCTAGAACCAAGAATCTCCTTCTGACCGTATTTACGCCAAGTGTAATTGTCGTCCGGCGGGATCTCAATCCTCCCCATGGCCGCCATCAGCACCGTTTCTTCTCCTCCTATATCCTTCTTCCTATATACATACACGTTAATTAATTACACATATATACAAATTACAATTTTATTTCTTCTTTTTTTTTTTTCTTGATTATTGATAAAAGATTAAAAGGATAACAAATAGTAACAATTTACATGCACTTGCGTAGATACGAACGATCTACATTAATCAGTGTTTGTAAATTACCTTGGTCGATGCCTTGGTCTCGAGGTATCATCATTACCCTTCACCGTCTGCATCACAGGGTACCTTATCCAGTGGTCCTGCTGCGTCAAAGCCGGTTCTGTCTCCATCATCATATCCATCATTCGAACCGGTTCCAGCTGTGCCAAAGAGTTCTTCCACGCTAGTTGGCTTTTCAGCCGCTCGTTTGCATCTCCGAATAAAGTGGAGATCGAGCCGAGAGAGTTAGACAAATCTGATTCTGGCAACTCTTGTGATGATAAGCTGAACTCAAGCTCCTTAACCAGATTGATTCCGTTGAAGATCATTGTCATTATCTCCTCCATCGTTTGATTAAGCCTTTTTATATAGTGTATAGTTAGTCACAAGCACTACAAACATATATATGTAGTACTTACTTTTACCTTACAAATTTTAGGTTTTTGTTTCACCTCGTGATCTCTCATATGTTTTGTGTGTGGATATATGAGACATTTATCTATGCATGTATATATACGTACACATGACACACATACAAATATATTATATTTAACACGTAAATAAAAGATTGGATCCTATGAATGATGATTCCATTTTGAAAAAATCAAAGATTGTGAAATAATCCAGAATGCGACGTACGTGATAAATTAAATCTCCAATCATATAAATTAACTTCGTCTCACTAGTTTTTTTTTTTGTGCGTGTTGACATATTGGCTAAAGCAAGGATAAATTAAACTAAACTTTACTCCATAACAAACACGTTGGTAATATTGATTTCTAGATACTTGGTATCGATTTGACAAAATAAAGATAAGGCCGGACTAGCTAGGTCTTAAATTTGTTCGATCGTGAATATGTTGTCTATCGCCCGACAAATTAACTTAACTTTTTGGGAGGGTTGGTGCTTTGATAAACACGACAGAAGAAGAAGCAGTCACACTGACCAGGTCATGGTCTGATCTTTTCAATATTTATATACATAAGTTAAACCTTATTTTCAACGGTAAAAGGCGAGCTTGGAAGTCTAGCTAGAGCAAAGACTTGTGATTTCAAGGTTGAAATAATTGGCCGGTCAAAAAATTAGTGTTGAAACTATTGAATACCTTAAAAAGCAGGTAAATTGACTCAAGTTTGAGTGACTCTCCTTCTTATTTTCTCTTGCGAGGTCAAAACTAAATCTACCACAATCACATGATCATTGATAGAATCTGATCTGTCTTAAGTTCACATATAAAAATATCTCTTCGCATGGTCTGTCTAAGTTACATTATTTTCTTCCACGGACGCACTATATTTTTTTCTCAACCATGCGTCATCTACAAAGAAATTAATGTAAGTAACTGCAGACGTGGGAAACGCCACTAACACTAAAATACCCAAGTGGATAGTATAGGTTATGATGGTGTCTCCATTTCCATTAGTTTCTTGTGATAATAAATTCTTTTGGCATATTAATTGTTTTCTCTGGCTATTGAATTTTGAGTTTATTTCAATAAAAACACAAACAATAATCCAGTGTATTTCCTAGATTAAGATACAGACCTAATGGGCCTAAAACGTTTGAAACCATAGCCCAAAATGGCTTACTTGCCATTATTCCCCTTTATGACCCATTTGCTGTCCTGTGTTGAGACTTGAGAGACTCTGTTGGCTGAAGAGTCTTCCTCTGTAGTTTAACCATATGTTTCAGTGTGTTGATTTTAAATTAGCTATTAATCTAATGTTGAATTCTAAAATTTCTTGTGGTTTAAGATTCCTCACAATCTGACCCAAAAAGGCATTGCTAATTCGTATTTACAGAGAGTGATCCCTTATTAGGTTTTAATCTCATCTTCACAAATCTTTAAAGAACATGAAGTGTTATGATTTAAGCAAGATGATATTTGTAATCGTTTAGGAATACACAAATCTTTAAATCTCTCTTATATCAAAGAAAACAAAAATCAAAAGAATTTTATATGAGCTTTTGAGTCTAAACAATTCTTCAGATTCTGCAGTTTAAGAGATGACATTTCAGTTTCTCCACATCCGATAGTTTCAGCGGCTTCTGCATAAACATTTGTGCACCGCTCGCTAAGCATCTGCAATATCATCAAGAAAACAACAGAATCTTTAGCTCACCACTAACTAACTAAACAAATATGTCTGAGGAATGATAGTTTTACTTGTTGATGCGAGTAGGAATGTTCTCTGAAGATAGTATCACAACAGGTACTCCCTTTAGATTAGATGACTCCTGCTGTCAATAACCAAAAACCATAGAAACAGAGACATAGAAATTTATTTTGTTAGTCTATATGGTTCTTCTCAAGAAGACTTTTTTTTTATTTGTAAGAAATTATTGCTAATTACCTTCACTTTCTGAAGCAGCTCAAAACCTGTCATTCCTGGCATACAATAATCAGTGATGATAAGATTCACCTTCATCACCTGAAAAAGACAAAATCTAACAATGGTTTATACAGTTGGATCCTCTCAAACACCAATCAAAACGTGTACTTAGGACTGAGCTTACATTGGTGGAAGTTACTGGATCAGTCTGTTGTGGATCTCCTAATCCTAAGTACTCCAATGCTCTAAGGCCATTTTCTGCTGTTGTCACTGCACGACAATTAAAAAAAAAAACATTTTAGAGGGAGTGTTGTTACCATAACCATGGAAGAATCTGGTGTTCTTGAAATATAAAAGGAAAAAAAGATTGAAGATTTGAATTATAATATACCTTTGCAAGAAGAGATCTTGAGGATTCTCTCAACGAGTTTACGGTCGATTAGATTATCATCTACAGCTAAAACATGAAGCTCTTCCTCCATTGAAGATGAACAAGAATCACTTGCAACTAAGAGAAACGTTGAGTCAGACATTAATAACCAATAATACCCTAAAGAAAACAGAGACAAACTTACATATGAAGAAGAAAGAGACAGTTGACAAAATTCAAAAGATTTTGATGAATGAGGATTACATTAAAATATATATATATATATATATATATTCATACAATATTGTGGTATTATGTTTTTTTAATTTATATAAGGATATATAGGATAACACAATATTATCAAGAGCTGATTTGATATGATTTAAGAAAACCAAGTTGTGAGCAATTTGTTCTCTGGAAACTGGTAAGAAACTTGGTGTTTATGTCAGTGACAGTGCTTTTGGGGATCTTGTACGATGATAACGAAAATCTAAATATTAATATTTATTTTCCATTTGCTTGGCATTTTGTAATCGTGCGAATAATGAAGATGCTAATCTAAAATCATTTTTCTATTTCAAAATGGATCACAAATCTCTATCAGAATCTCAGTTACTAATAAGTCCCCACGATTCTCTGAAAAACACAATTAAGATATATTATTTATAAATTTAGTTTCGGTGTATATTATATCATCATTTTTCAATTTTAATTTATATCGTGAAAACCTCAAGTTCTTTAATACGAAAATATTTGATCGATGATACAGTATGTTGTTACTCGCATAGTTGCATGGGGCTTTCTTTCATGTTTATAAACCAAAACATTACTTAAATAATACGGGCTATAGAAGAATTTTGCCAAGGCCTGCCTCACTTTTACTTATGAGCCTTATTATCAGCTTAGCCTACTATACCTTAATGGGCTTATAATGGAAGACTTGGACTCATCTGATCCAAAATTAGTTACCATAAAATTACAAAAATTCAAAAAACAAAAACAAAATTATACTAGAAAATAGAAAATTTGGAAACTGCAGAACAAATTAAATTTGCCAAACACCAGAGAGTAAAGATAATCTTTTAATGGCTCTGGACCTAAATGCCAATGACAGAGGAAGTTTCGAATAAAAAATAAATACAAACTAGTATAGTTTTTTTACTTTATTGTGTTTGGCATTATAGAGATGGAAAGTGAAGAACAGTAAATGTGAATTATGAATTATCTCGAACAAGGTCTCTCCGGCTCACACTGCCCAAAAAATTCCTTGAAAGCTCTTTATAACAGTATTGAATTTGACCCCCTATACATACATATACTTAAGATTTATTTAATAAACACATAAAAAAATAGACTTGTTGTTAAAAATGTAAATACAAACAAATAGTAAATTCCAAAAATCTTCCATGAATGGTTGTTTTCCTTCCATGGGGAAAAGAGTTCTTTTTCACTTTTTCTTTTTGTTTTGTTTTCAATTTTGATTTTAAATAAACAAATTATTACTGTCAAAAGGAATATAAAATGAAAACATAGGTATGGAGAGAGAGAGAGAGACCGAAATATGAAGAAAAATAAGATGTCTTGACTTGGACCAAATCTCACACACGAGAACGAGAAAGACAACAATTAAAAAACTTCCAAGAGAGCATGCTTATTTATTTTCTCCTCATCACCGTTGTTCTATTATTATCTGTGTTTTTTTGCTTTTCAAATGTTTTATTTTATGGAAATAAGTGTTTGACACTTAGTTGTTTCATCACATGTTCAGCAGCTCCTGTAAAAAAAAGTTCACATATAATGGATGATGATTGATTCCTTGCACAAACAGAAGATCCCAAATATTTTTACATCTATTGCTCCTCCAAAGTCAACCAAATATCCTTAGGGGCTCTTGTGATCCATTTTCAAACCCATCAAATTCTTTAGAAATATAAAAAAATAAACAAAACCCATAATTCACAAGTAATATGGTACAGTGAACAACAGGACATTGTACATAACAAATAAATGAATAATACTATTATGGTTGCAACTATTAATGAACCAAGTTAATTCTAATAAGCACCACCACAAAAATAAAAATCTTTTTCCAGGTCACACAACACCATACTCTTTTCTTAACCCAACTTACTTCAATGTTCTTTCTTAAAAAAAAAAGAAAAAAGAAAAAGGGAAATAAAATTGAAGAAAATTGGAAAACAAAATCTAGTGTGACCACTTTAACCACTGTCTCTTTCTGGCTTCTGCATCTATTATAACTGAGAAGAACCAAACAAATTTCCATTTTATGTGAACTTGTACATTTGAATCAAAACTTAAAACTTATATAAGAAAATTTCTATAATAAAGGGAAGGATAGTTTAGTAATTATAAGCCTACTATGTGTTTCTTTCTTTCTTTAATGAGTTGGCCAATCATTTTATTCAACTGAAAAAGAAGAAAAAGAGAAAAAGCCACGTGTCTGCCAAGTCGGATAAATAAAAAGCCAACAAGAGTAATACACGTGTCAATATCGATTTAATGAGTCCACCCACCTTCCTCGGGCCCCACGTCTCTCTTCTTTACAGCCCGTTGATAAAGGCAGCTTTTAATTACTCTCTCTCTCTCTCTCTCTCTCTGCTCTGCTCTTCTTTTTCTTTTTTTG